ACTATAAGGAGCAGCGAGGCTTTGCGGAAAGCCTTGGCCCAAAGCCTGATCCAAAACCCTGAAACTTGGCCGCCGAAGTGTTCTGGGACCAGCGTTCCTTTGTAGAGTTCTCGCTTATGTGACCAGATTTCTGAACTTCATCCCTTTGTAACCGTCAGAATATCCAATCTTGAATCCATGACGCACCAAAGCGTTTGAATCGCCAAGAAACCTAGAAGCCTGAAACCTCATGTCCACGAACCCATCACCTAAGATCCATCAGTGCTAAGTCCTCAGGACCAATCGCCAAGTTCCGATAACCTTATATATATACATATACATACATACATACACATACACATACACATACACATACACATACACATACACATACACATACACATACACATACACATACATACATACGCACCCGAAAATCGTGCACTCCGTGGCACGCGGAACCATCTGTGCGACCTGCTCTTCCACACGCGACCCAATGGCATCTGACGGAGCCGTGCGGGACGCCGACGTGGAAATGAAACCTCACACCTCGGAACAATATTTCAGCTTAGAGAATGTAGGTTTCATCTGGTTTGGCAGGGTTGTGCATGATGTTGGGGTTAATGGTGTAGAGATTTAGGTGGACTTGGCTTTGTTTCGCCTGTTGTGGCTCTCTTTCCTGCTCGGTCCTCTTTGCGATTTTTTTTTTCGAGCTGCCTGCTTGGTCTGGGGTAGGTGTGTAAGGCGCGCTTGAAGACTTCGGGGCATATTTGGTTGTAGGGTTTATCCGGTCGAGGATTGAGGGCAGAGCGTTTAACCGTGGGATACAGGGATGCTTGCTATATAGGAGCGTTAATCATTAGAACAGGAATTGGAGTATTTTACACTGTCGTTATACTAGCCAACGTCAAGAGCTGTCTTGCTTTTGTTTTTGCTCGTTCTCTCTCTCTCTCTCTCTCTCTCTCTCTCTCTCCCCCTCTCTACCTCACTCTCGGCGGCTGAAAGACCTGCTAGATCCGACAAAACTCACATCTGAACCCTCATCCGAGGTAAGGCTGCTGAATCTGGCTAACTGTAGCTAATGAGCCCCAAACTTCAAACAGCATCTCCTTTTCCGCGAAACCCAGCATAGAAAAAACGGAGGAAAGCAGGGCCACGGCAGTGTTAGCCAAGGCCTGGTCGTTGAGACCTCGGGGCAACCACGATAAACATCGCGATCTTTCCCTAATCATAGGGCTCCAGTTATTTAAATAGTAAGTTACACAGTACCGTACCATTTAGTTAGGTAGCTGGAGCCCTAGTGTTTTTGTTGCAACGCAGAGAAGAACTTGTCGTTCGTATGTACTTCAACCATCAAAAGCACGAAGAGCGTGAGCATCAGTCTTCTTGGTGTTGCCGTTACCCATATTATAGGCTCCGTAGTAGTTCCGTTTGGGGATTACCTTATAGGATTCTAAATATAAACCCCAAAACAGGCACTACAATGGAGCCTGTAGGTACAATCATGAGTCTGAATGGTGCAATGGGTATTGTCACTCTCGCCAAATTGTTAGCAATCGTCTCTCGTCGCAGACAGATAGCGGCTTTAACAGTTACAACAGGGTCTTCGGTTAGAGCTAACTATTGAGAAATACGTAGAACAAGAAGATGCGGCAAACCTTGACGCATGTCGAAGCCAAGTTCACGCAGAATCACGAGGCGCCCTTACATGGAGCCTTTTACAAACTGTACTGTTGTCCGATGCATGCATGCATAATGGCACGCCTGCAAGCACGCGCAAACACGCAAATGCATACCACATGTGCGCAAGTCAGATTGCTTGTTCCCGCTCTCCATCGGGGCATAAGGGGCGAGTCAGGCCCCTCGGCCAGACCACTGTTATGGGGCTTTAAAGGGGTGTGATACTCCCCCTCTATGTGTGTCTCTCTCTCTCTCTCTCTCCCTCTCCGTCCGTTTTACTTCGTCAATCCATCCAGATATGTCCGTGTCTGCACCGATGTAAATATGACTAATAGTCAGCGCTTCATGTTCAAGAAGACGTTCTCACAAAATCCCGACGATCTGGAAGTGCACTTTTGTACTTCTGAAGGACGACTGTTGAACACGCACATGGCCACAGGTAAAGGAGCACCGACACGATGCGATTGCGGTGCAGTTAAGGACTATACCAGTCATCATGGCTTGCTTATGTGGAAACAGAACCCAGCCACAAAACGAAGGCCAACAACAGCCCATTGAAGGTGTCGATGGTCTTCATGTCCCTACGAGGACTGCTGCTAGTGCTTGAACTGAGCACCTGGCAACTCATCATGAGCAGCAAGAAGTCCTAACGAAGTTCTTCTGTCCGTCATCACATGTAGCCTGATAGTAATGACCCTGGACCAACGTAGTCAAGCCTTCATGAACCAAGTCTCCGCTGAGGCCGCAGCTTTGAATCTTGCTGCTTGCTTCCCCCCCAGCACAAGCCTTCAATTCGTGCTCGGGTGTCAGACTTAGGACAAAGTCCTTCGGGGTCGTCGTTCTGTACTACGGGGCAATATAATAAGAATCCAAATAGTTGAAATTGGTTCCGAGGATACAATGTAGTATGTTTGAGGATTGAAACTATAGGGACTATAAACAGACTACTCAGATCAGATCCCTTTGTGCGCACGTACCAAGCTTTTGCTTTCTCTGTGTGAGCCTGCTGCTCCCCGAAGCTCGAGAACCTTTAGAAATCCGAAGGTTTTCGTTCTCACAACTCGTGCAAGCCAGAAATGGTCTCCCGGTCATTCAAAGCGAAGCGTCCACCCAAGTGCTCGGCATCGGCGATGGTGCAAAGTCGACCTCGGGGGTCAGTGGCCACACCTGGATTTTCTCCTCTTCCTCTTCAGCGCCAGTGTTCGGCGTCTCCGGGCAAAAAGGCGGCGATCCACGGCCGAAAGGATGCCTCGCCACATAGATATCGGTTGCCAACGTAACTGAACTTTGTGCTCCTATAGTACAGGCTTTTGCCGCTATGTCGCTAGTCGGTCAAACGGCTCTCAAACACTTTATCAACATGTCGCTTTGAAGTCCCACCCGAAACCCCTGGAGCCACAGTCCAGGTCTTGGGGTGATTGAACCACTAAGCTCTGCTAAAAGTCTGATTGGAGAAATCGTGAAGAGGTGATGTGCACCTTGCTGCAAATCGCGAACAGCTGCGCAGCAACTCTCAACCCTAAATTAAACCCCAGGAGGCCCTTCGCAGCCCTAAATCCTATAAGCCCCCGAAGCCCTTAGTACTCCAGTAGTGGTCATCAAACCTATAAACCCGAGAAGCCCTTAGTACTATAAACTGTCGAAGTCCTGAATCTGCAAGTGCCCAGAGCCCTGAACTCAAGAAGCCTGGTAAGACCAGAAGCGAGGAACCCTATCCTAGAAGCCTTGTAACAAAGGGGCCTTCATAGTTTGGGGACCAGTATACTATAAGGAACCCCAGAAAATGGCCTATAGTACCCTGAACCCAAGCAGCCTAGAACCCACAGACGGAGACACCTGCAAGCCGACAATCCAATACTTCATACCACAAGAAGGGTCAGGGGTTTAGAGTTTAGGGGTCGAGGGTTTACAACTTAAGCTTTAGTTGAGACCTGATAGAAAAACATCCAAACAGGGACCCTTGATTTTCAGAAACCCACATGTTCACCCAAACTGATTGAGGGTTACTGAACCTTAAACTTTACATCCCAAACTCTAAACACTAAAACAGACCCTGAATTCTGAGCCCGCCCTGAACTCTAAGCGGTTTAGGGTTTATGGTTTATGCCGAAACCCTGAGGTCGTACGATGCGGTCTGGGAGCTGACGTCTGCTCGCCGACAGAGTCGAGCTTTGCGGACCTGCTCCAATCAAAGGGGAAAAGGTGGGCCCCTTAATGGGGACCCCTACCCTATAATGGGCTATGTAATGGGTATATAATGGCTATATTAAGGGTATATACCTAGGGGTCCTTGTTAAGGGTCCCTCCTTTTACCCTTGGATCCAAGACGTCCGGATGCTCGCTGAAAGGGTTTTCACACTCGGACAATCCAGGCGAGGCGATTGGTTTAGGGTTTATGGCTGTAGGGTTTTGCGGATTAAGGCTTAACTATGGTTTTGATTGTGGTACCATTTTGGGGTTACCTTAGAAGATCCTCACTGAAAGTGGGTAAACGGGTAAACCAACAAAGGAACTACATTGCAGACTATATGTAGGATGCAGGTTTTGGGGTGTAGATTTCATGACTCAAGCCCAAGCTTCGATCCAAAAGCCGCCCCAAGACAAGAGAGACAGGGACGCGTGTGGTTGCACAGTCATGTCAGCTCCGAACATGCCTTCATGGCTTCGGCTCTAGGGTTTTAGGTTTCAAGGTGTTCAGTTGGGTAGTTGTCAAAATTAGGGTCCCTTGTTGGGTCCCTGTTGTAACCTATTATTGAGGGTACCCAATTAGGGACCCTAATTTTGACAACCACCCAGTTATAGTTTGCTAGAGACCCCGGAGCGGCTTGAGTGGTAAACTGATTGCAGGCATGGTCCTCACGGTCGGCATGGGTGACCCCTGAATTCCCTACTTGTCGGGTATCATGGGGAACTGAAGGTTAACCTTTTTGGTTATATAGGGATTATATAGGGACTATACACTACCCCAAAAAGGTTAAAGGTTACCTACTCTACTACTAGGATGCCAAAGGTGTTCTTAATCTCAGCATTTTTGCCAGCTTGACCTCGAACCATGGAAACACTAAAGCAAAGCGAATTCCGCAAATGCTGGCTCTATCCAAGACCCCCCGAGAGCCCTTATGGTCCTGAATAGTGAATATTTGGGGGTATATTACAAGGCAGTTTGGGGGGGGGTCCTGGTATGAGGAAAAGTTTTTATGTTCGGGGCTCAAGAGCTCTGTACTGACATTGGGGTCAGGGTCTGAGGGTTTGGATTTAGGGTTTAGGGTAGGGTTAGGGCAGGATCCAGGACTTAGGGTTGGTCTGTTTTGTCCCGGATGTTTGGCAGCACGACCTCTGAGTCAGGGGCTTACGACGCAGGAGCGCAGCGGGCGAATCCTTCCAACACCCAGACAACTCCTCGACATATCCTCTTTGCGGACCGCTTTGTGCCTGAGGTGTGCGTGTAAAGTCTTGAAGCGGGGTTGTCATGGGGATCTGGGGCACCTACACAAAACAACCAATGTGGGACACTTTTTGATAATCACCCAGAAATAGTGGGACGGTGGGACTACTACGGTCCCAAAGAACATTGAATGGAAAACTTACGAATGTCTTACCTACGGAGAAAATCTTTACATAATGGGAACCCTCCCCCCCGGAAACCAAACAAGAAGCAGGGCCTGGACGCTAAGCCGATAAACCAGCACAAAAACGTATCAACATCTGGGAGTCCTCTACAATCAAACAGGTCCGACGTTATGAGGGATCCGAATTGCGCCCAGGCACAGAACAGCCACGAACTGCTCTGCATACCGCAAGATCGGCCCAGGAATGCACTCATGATGTTCATAGGTCTTACTCTCGCACTTCGAAGGGCGCTTGCAGTTGTGAAGGTCGGCCGGGCAGCAATCGCCCACATGCTTCCCTGCGAGGTCAACAACGGCTGCATCCGGAAACTCCTGCACCAGGAGATGCCGGCGCTGGTTCATGCGAGGAATGTCACCGCCCCACCAATGTGGACGCTCGTTGAGGGTTCCAAGCACTATGATCTGCGGTTGAACTAGCCTGGCAAGGCGGACGGGCGACCACAGGTCAGCGGCTCCATCAATCGTGGGATCATTGGAGACCAGCAGCATCGTGATGTTGTTGATGACATTGTGCGCAATAAACGAGTTGGTTGTCCTATTCGGGTCAGGAAAGACGAAATCCCAGTTGTGATAGCACAGGGCTGCTTCCAGCAACTCTGCCAACACCGAGTTTCCGACGGCAAAGATCCGTGTTCCTCTTGGCAACTGCATGATGTCATAGCTGGAATTCCATAGTGGCGTCTCCTTGAGAACCCTCAAATACTCCGCCCCAGCACAGCCATACAAGTCCCGAAGAGTGGCACAGGGCAAGTGGCCCGCGAGTTCCACAATTTCATCCACCGCGGACCAGTTCCTGGGAAAATCCCTCACCAAGTTGGGAATCCGGAAGGGCCTCGAGTGGTTCCCACTGTTGAGTTCTGCCGCCCAGTTTTTCGGGAAGCCCCAGGTAAGGGCGTGAAGCAAGGTCTCCACGACTCGAGGCAGCTCGGGATCGGGATCCTTTATTGCGGCCTTCGGTGTAGGGTTCATGCCAGGCTTCTGGGTCATCAGACTTCTTCGGAACTTCAGCCGAAAAAAGTCGACCACAAAAAACAGGCTCACGGTGCCGACGAAGGCCAGCGCAAGCAAGCCGGGCCTCCGTACCATCGTTCATAGCAGGCTAGCTCCAGCAGGCAAGCCCCTAAACCCCCGAACTCTAATTAATCCCCAAACATAAACCCCAAACCCTAAACCGGAGGGTTGTGATGGCAGACTTGAGTTTCACTGCCACATCTTGAATCAAAACCCATGCTCTTGGTAGGCTGCACGAGCCTTCAAAGCAGAGCTTAGGCCTCGAGGCTACGAGTGCTAAGACTTCGAAACTGCATTTCCTCAAATCTTAACTGCTGAAATGCAAACTCTTCGCTGCCAGGCCCTAAACTTCAAAGTTCGTTCCATGCACCAAGAATGTAAATCTTGAAAAACTAAGCCCTCAATACCAAAGCCTCCAGGCTGTGGCTGCCAGCTCCAGGTGATTGAACTGGCCAACCTGCAACAACCAGCGCAGGGCTTTTCGATGGCCAAATTTGGAGGCCCCAAGTTCGAGCACGGGGACATGCAGGCGGTTTAGCATGGAATTGGTGATGTGGGGTCGAAGTCATAAGGCGGGACAGGGATGACGTGGTGCATGGCTCGCGGACTTCCGGAGTAAGGCTGCCAAGGTGCAAAAGTATACAGGTCTGAACGCACAGGAATAGTATCGACTTGCAGCCCATATTCGGGTAACATACCCAAGACAAATGTTCTGACTGATATTTCGGGAAGAAAGCAGGTTGAAGCTCAGCAGCATCTGGGCCACAGGCAACTTGGTGAATGAACTTCTAGGATCAATAATAAGTAAAACGCTTTAGAACACAAGAAAACTTGAAAAGTCGTCCAGGGAGCCCCAAAGGAAGCTTGTAGAACCCGACTAACCAAAGTCCAAGCTCGGGTGCTTAGGAGCCTGCTTTTTTCTGGCCAGACGCTGGGTTGGAGGCCGTGAGGTTCTTGGGAGCTTCAGGTAATGCTACGACGATGTCGACTACCAGTATCATCATCACGACCGCTACCAGCACTGCTGACCCAAATCCTACTGGTTATACCAACACTTCTTCGGCGAGGACGATAGTAACATCACCCCCAAGCCGCCTAAGTCAGAATTTGGAGGGACGGCCTGCTTCGTAGCCGCACGGGCAACAACCTGAACAAGAAGCTCGCCAGTTCTGCATACAGAGTTGGGCCATTTGTCTAGAAGAAAGTGAAGGATTTGGGGAAAGTCTATGGTTCCAAAAGTGTGGAGTAGCAAGTTCAAACGGTCAGGAACTAGGGTAGTCAGTAAAAGTGTGATTTGACGTTGGGCTTGGGGGAGATGTTGTTTGAGAATGTGGTCCAGCAGCTGCTATGGCTTGAGATTCCTGTGCTCTAACCCTGACCCCCCAAACGAACCCTTCACCCCATGTTGGACACTGTAGAATGGCGGTAGCATCGCTACCGGAGACCCTGATGTGCCTTGGTGCCTGAGACGCTGGCCCTAAAGTTACTACGCGGGAACCCCGATACTACAGATCAAAAGTATCTCATCAACCCTATACAGGTACATGAACCTTCTTCGAGAGCTCTTTCAGCGACCATGCATTGCGTGGTAGCTGAACTAACTAAGGCGAAAGGAAGACCAGTTCCGACTATCCCAAGCGTGGACACCGAAGTCTAAAAAGCGACAGCTGGTGAATAAACTACAATGTGTCTGTATACATCTATATTCACATATGAAATATATAATATGCATATGTATATGTATATTTTTCACAGATTAGAACAGACAAGGACTAGAATAGATAAGACTTTCTTATGTTGTGCTATTTTATGTTGTGTAGAAATGTATGCATAATATGTGCATATTCGTATTGGTACATTATGGTTTAAGTATCCCCTCTGTAAAGCCCCGCCCGCAGAAGACATCCCGGTGCGTCGGAATGCAGCTCTTAACCCCACACCCAAATCCGTTAACGCAAAGCCCTACGAACCCTATCCCTAAACCCGGTAAACCCTAAAACCTGCTCGTTCGCAAGGCGGCTGTTGACACCTTGCGTCCGAAACCCTACGCCAGCAAGCCTGCAGAAAGATGTCGCCCCGCAATCGCGCCGTGGTAGGTCTTCATGTCACATTAGCAAGGTCCTTCTCGAAGTCTCAGGGTTTTATGGGATTCTCGGGGTCCTTAAATTTTACACACCACCAGCTGATTTCGGGCTGGGTTGAGAAATACTGTTCCATTACAGGGTTTCGACTCCCTTTATAGGGTTTGGGGTTTTGGGTTACTAGCCCCACTTGTTAAAAACATTCAAGACCTGAAGCCCCACGAAGATGGATCCCACAAGAACAGGAGACATGGCAGTGGCCACTCGATCATGAAAACCATTCGGAGCTTAAGCCTCACGATGGCACAGTCGAAAGCGTAAAATAGAGGCCGTAATAACAGGGGTTTGAGCCTATTAAGATATGCTGCATTATAAATCAGGGAGCCCCAATGAATAGTACGATTCATTTGATGCTTCTAAATCAGTCATATCATACACCCAACCTTTCGCTCTACAACCCTCCTGTGTAGCGTTGTACGCTTGTTTGGCTTTGGTTTGGCATCTGCAAGCCTTTGCACAAAGCCATCCGGTTGATGCAAGAGCCCTTGTGATTTTATTTGCAAAATCATCGAGAAGGCTATCGGAAACCATCACCCATCATGAAATGATCGTCCACCACGTCTAGTGAGTCTAGTGCACCCCCTGCTAACATTACGACATGAATAGGTCCACTAACTGAAGCTCTATATATATATACACACATATATATATATATATATACACATATATATATATATATAATTGCACATAAATCAGAACCCGGCAAGAAAACAAGTTGGTGACTGCCTCTTCGGATGAACCTAAGCTTTCGCACGTTAAAGGGTTTGGGATACATAAACAGAGCTTACAGGTGTAGAGCATCGAGCCACAAGTTAGCAGATGTGATCACGCGACTTACTATAGGGGCCTTGATAATTAGAATAGGGTTTTGGGGCCCATTATACTGTACTCATAAGGACCCCCAAAATCGTATAGGTAATCATGGAGGCCCGTATAGTAACTAAACATAGAAGCTAATGCAAGTAGGGCGTGCTAGCAAGCTAAGCGGCCGGCTCTACCTGTGTCTGAGTTATATTAATATAACTACTACCAGCCCCCAGATCCTAACCAAGCTCGAAAACCTGAAGACGGACATCTCATCTCCCAAACCTTCACCCCTAGACTGTAGACCTTTGGGGCTTGAGCCTCAAACCCAAGCCCCTACAAACCCGAAAGCCCCTTAGTGCTCGTTTCGGGGCAATGAGAAGGTATCAAGAATTCTAGGTGGAGGTCTTCTGGCGGGCGCAATGCGTCCTTTAGCAGCGAAGCAAAACCGGAGACCAGTGACCCTGAACGCGAAAACCTTATCAACACCTAAACCCATTAGCTCCAGACACTTCCGTCCCTGGTTTTTGGTGGCCGGCGGAGTTAGAATAAGCCTGAGCGCAATCGCATTTCACTCACACTTGTATACAACCGTCTCGATTATTTCTTGCTCCTGAGAGTTGAAGTTGACCTTTCGGCAGCACGCAGTCGTAGAGGCCGACTGGCGATATCGGGTGGAACATGACTAGAATATGGTTTAAAGGATACATGATTGATAATACAAATACAATAAGGAACCCTCCAAGACTCAAGATAGTAGTGGTAAGTAGGGTTAGGTTGTACCAGAGGGGACTTAACAATTGGCCCAGGGTTTTGGGCGGTTGGCTACTATGACGAGTGAATTCAGGCACCCTGAACAATAGTCTAAAGCCTAAAACCGAAATCCTAAACTTTAAATTAGCCTAGAGACAAAAAGCCCCAAACACACATTCTAAACTAATGCTGACCTCCAGCCGCCTTGATCAAACCCTCGAAGGAAACCATGTCATGTAACATGGCAAGACTATGCAGCGCGTGCTCTTGCATCCCCTCATCTTTCAATAGAATGGCCTTCAAACACGCAGCGCTCCTAGGAGTAGGCCACGGATTAGCTGTCATCCCGCCTACTCATAATTAGTAAAAACATACCTTGAAAGTTCCCTTTGGGTGATGTCGCAAACTACAGTTTAAGAATGGTTCCAGATACACAGTTAGGGAATCAGGGTTTTATAGATTTGCAGTTTTGCAATTCATTCGGGCTTTGGAGAACAGGGTCTATAGGGCTTCAGTTCCGGCTTAAAGGTTTAGGATTTCCTGCTAAAGCTCAGATGTAGTTTAAGGTTTGCCCAAAGAGTGCAACGTACCCGCTGATTGTGTACTTGGACTTACGGAAATGACTTCGCAGGATGTATTGAAAACCCCAAACCCAAATTATTTGAGTTGGGCTCTCGACTGCTTGGCCGTTCATAACAACACGTCTTCGGTCAAGGGCATTATGGCTTGGTTTGGCGTTGGATTTTTTTTGGCGTCGGGTTCAACTGTAGATACAAGCGTCGGAACCTGCCTGAAGGAGGTTAGGGTTTAGGTTTAGCGTTTAGGGTTTCGGCGCGCACACTCGGACAATCCAGGCGAGGCAATTGGTTCGGAGTCTGCTCAGTGGTTTAGGGTTTAGGGTTCATGGGGATTTTGGCCTTTCAGCCCTGCCCTGCCCGAAGAAGGCGAAGGAGAACGCCAACGCGAAGAGCCGAGAGGCAACAGACACACAAGCACAATCACACAACAGAGCTCCAATCACAGAGAACACGTAAGAAAGAATTAACTGAAAACCCAAATAGTACTACGGTAAACGAGACCAGCAGAAGAGGCCGCGCCTCAAAGGGCAACCGGCCATCTACTTGTGACTCACCAGAGGCCCGCGCAAAGCCTGGGTGCTGTGAGGTTTCTGAGGCTTCGGTTACACCCTAAGCTGCTTAAAGATCAAACCAAGCATAAGGCCTGCAGCCTTATATAATTACCCTGACTGGGAGCCTGAAGCCCCGCGAAATCAGAGCTAAGTACATGTTTTGAAGCATGTGGTTCAGGGCCCTTGAGGGTTCGAGAGTTGTAGAAAAAGGAATCTATAATTAATAGTCTTTGCCAAAGAGCTCGAGTTTTTTTACGGCTTTGGGTTCTTCGGGTTCTGATTTTGGTGTGGGGGGGGGGGGGTGGGGCTGCTCGTGGCTTTGAGGCTTCAGGGCTTTACATAGGCCTTAGGGATCTGGGCGGTTTGGTTTGGCGGCTGTGGGAATGTTGGGTGCTTTGTGACGCAGCAGCGCTTCACAAGCCTTGCTACTGCCTCAAGTTGGCCCATGTAACAGTCTGATCTATAAGAGGTCCCTAGGTGCGGCGCCTGCCCTGCAAGCCAGGCAAGCCGGCATCCTAATCCCAACACAAAGCTCATGATAAACAGCCAGAGTTCCCATTGGGGGAGAGGTGATATGCTTTGGCCGAAGCCACTCTGCAACAGTCGCAACTTGTGCAAAGCTGCCGTCGTTATGATGTACCCGTAAACTCCGCACGAAATCCGAAACTGCGAACCGGAGAGTCCTACATCAGACTGCACGCACCTCGCAAGCAGCTGAAAGTTTAGGAGATTCTTTCATCAGAGATTTGATCATGCAAGGGACCATAGGACACAGGCACAGGAAGAGCAGTCACATTCTCAACTCGCCCAGACCTTTCAGCTGCACCCAAACCTACAACTGCTACTCAAGTCATGAAGGCGCCATGGAAATGCCCTTAGGCTGAAGCATCCGTTCTAAAGTCCATGAGTAGTACCTCCTCGCAGGTTTTTGGATCCACCGAAAAAGGCCAGACCTACGACTCCCAAATGGGAGCTTCCGAAAATAGGGGACCCTACTCAAGTACTCCAACTAGTAGAATCCTTCTTATAAGGACTCCAAAATACGGCACCCCTAATTTGCGGAAACTCCCAAATCCCTACTTATCAACTTTAGGAGCAGTGCCTCCTGCGGGATCTCCTGGAATCTCACAGAGAGAGTCGCAAGGGTCCAAGTACTTTATTATCATATACTCTCCAAAATAGTGACCTACATAACTACTATCCTAAAACCAAGTACCTAATTATTGGGTCCTTTGGACCCTTGGGGGAGTTGCAAGGGATTGAGACCCAGGCTCGCCAGTTCGCGCGCTCCTAACCTGCGGCCGTCGAGAAAGACACTGAACTTCGCTTTCAGGCTTAGGGCTTCAGGTTTAGGGTCTTTTTTCCCTTTTTCCCAGGTTTAGGGTTTAGGGTTTATCTAGTTAGCTTCGGTTTAAGGTGTTTTTTTTTGTTGAAGGCCTTTTTCCGTCCGCTACCGTACTAACATCAAGAATCCGCATCGGCTTAGGGTTTAGGGTTTATAAGGGCTTAGGGTTTAGGGCTTGGGGCTTAGAGTTTAGGGTCTAGGGTTTAGGGCTTCAGGTTAACCCAAAGGGCCTACCTTTTGAGAGGCCTTACATACGGAAGGCATGATAAGGATCCCTGCAAACGAAGGTTTTATGAAGTTCAGGTCCAGGTAGGTTCAAGAAAACCCTGCACACAAAAAGGGTGTGTGGCCTGGGATTGTTGGGTCGAACCCTATCCCCGGAGCTAGCTTTCCAAACCAGCCCAAGGGTAGGTATCTGTAGACTTTAGACCCCCAAGAGCTTTAGTGTAGGCTTAGGTCGCCCGAAACTTTCATGGGGTTTAGGGCAACTTTGCCGTGCAAGGCTTGTAAAGGTGTATGCGTACAATCTGCCTCGGTTTGCGGATGTTCATCAACTCGATGGTGTGGACAGCGGCGTCGATGCACCGTAAGAACCAGGCTTGGTAAATTGTATGTTAGCTTCTACCTAGTTTTTTGAATATCATCACATGCTAACGAAACATATATAAACATCTCAATAGCCTCTGTAAAGAATCTAGATTGTGGTACTGGGTTCATGAAAGTTTTACAGGGCCTTACAAACCGCAGGCCCTCTGCGGTGTATCAGTATCTAAAGGGAAACCGTCATACACTTGCCCTTATTCTGACTCTAGACCTGGCACCCTCAAAACCCTGAAGCCATATAACCCTCAGATCCTGAACCTGTATTATATATCCCTGAAACTTAAACGAGCCCTTCAAGGACTCCACTATCTGGCGATCAGCGTTCTTTGCTAAGGGGCCCTTTTTATTCAGAATTCTCACAAAAAGTTTCCACACCCAGTGAATCTGACAAGAGCCTATGCTTCATTCAGGAGTTGGGCCCACAAACCTTGAACCCTGAGGGATGGCTAATAATCACTAAAGCCCGAAACCCTGCAAACCCTTAACCGTTTCTCCTTAAACCCGCACTGTCAGTTTTTGTCCACAAGAACGACATCCCCCGCCTGCCCATGTTGGCCATCGCTGTGGCAGAGGTTGCGCTCAGCAAAGGCGGGGCTCCCACCTGCCGTCGAGTTTGAAAGAGGGTACATATGGTTTAGGGTTAGGCTTCTGGCTGTCGGGGCTTCGGCACGCTCACTCCGGGGTCTCTTCTCTGCTTTAAGGCCGAAGGAATTGAGTGTTTGGGGTTTCCTTGAATTTCTGCTAGGTCCTGCCCGGGCTCTGTCATTCAGCGGTTGTGGTTCTTCCGTTGTCAGTTGTGTAAGTGACATGTTATGTTAATGTTCAGGATAATACCCAAACGGTTGTGCTGTGAACTTGTGTAATACAGACCACCGCCATCATCAACACCATCACAGTTGTCCTCGCTTGCGTCGGCATGAGCGTAACAACTATCGTCTTCGGCTTCCCACTGTCCTCCTCCTCCTCCTCCACCTCCACCTCCCCCTTGTCTGTGTCGCCACTGTATCGCCCTTGTCAGCATCGCGGTCACACCTTGTGATGGCAAATTACCGAAGTTTCGAGCCTTTAGCAATGGCTTGTGTGTCCTATCGCCTTGCCAAAGCTAAGCAGCCACACCCCGAACTTCGTTATCTGGGTTCTTCTTAAAGGGTCTAATTTAAGCTGCCATAATAAGGAAACCATACTATTTACTATAGATCCCTATTGTGGCAACATGAGTCAAATTCCTTAACAAGAGCCCAGCTATTGCAAACCATCAACCCCACACATCCTCAACCTCAAAATATCCCACAAATAAAACTTGAAGGCTGTATCGAACTTTATTAAGTCACAACCAGAAGCACGAACCTCAAACCTAGAACCCTGCAACCGATAACTCAAACTAAAACCGAACCTCCACATCCTTGTAATGCACCGTCTGGAAGCCATGTAAACAATCTCTGCAGAGCCTCTTAAAGCAATACTCTGATAATACACTGAAGCGCCTAACAGCAGACTTCCCTCCCTGCTAACCCTACGCCATTCGACGCCCTAAACTGTCCTAAGCCCCAACCCTAAAGCCCGAGAAACCCTGAACCCCAAACCCCAAGCAACTTTGATCCCTGAAACTCAAGCCAACAACTCCCTAAACCCTAACCCCAGGCCCTATAGCCCGAAACCACACATTTTTTAAGTGTACATGGGTGGTTTTCTGCGCAACAGCATGGAACTGCTGCCGTCGGAAGCCTGAGTGTCATTTTCTGTCTCAGGTTGACATCAGCTTTGCTGCAAAAACAACGAACAAACATAGTTTGCCAGATTTTTCGCGTCCAACCGTCCAACATCTTTAGACCGAGCCCCACTCGTCGTCGGTTTGCTTTGGCCCTGTTCCCTGAACTTCTGCGCGGCCCTAAACACAAGCCCTAAGCTGCGTGACGCCTTCGATCTTGCGACAGATCGCGCCATGCCGGCCTCACAGGCGGGGCAAACACCGTTCTTCTCTGTTTTTTGCTTCTCCAGGGCCTCCAGGGTTTAGGGTTGAGAGCTTGGGTTTAGAGGTTTCGGGATTTGGGGGCCTAAAACCTCAGGCCCAAACATCTAAGCCTCGTGCTCGAAATCAACTCCCCAACATTGAATCTCCAGGTTTCTGCGGGTGTTCAACGGGCTGTAGGCTGCAACCCTGAATAAAAGGCTCCACTCACTGAGCAATTGGCGCTTCTTTTGACCTCGCGCTGAAAAGGTTCGAAGCGAAGCGCTGCATGTATACTGGGAAGATCACACTGCCGACGTCCCTTCGCAAGCCCTACCAAAGTGTTCAATCTAAATAAGTCGGCAGGCTAACCCAAACATCATTGCATACACGCACCTGCGCGGTGTGAATGCACTGTCCTGGGTGAATTCCACCATTACCTTGCCGTTGTCTTGGCTTTTTTTCGTTGACTTCTTCTTGTCTCACGGGCTTTGGGCGGACCTGGCACTCCGAGGTCCATTGTAAAGTCTAGAAGCTCCTTCAGACTTTCCTCCTGATCAGTGACAGTGAAGTCACTGGACACCTGAACGCGTTCGATGTTCAATGTCTGGTTCTCTTCCAGCTTGGTCAATCGAGAGCAAGCTTTGTCGATCTGCTCGTGGGCTGATACGAGGAAGACGAGGCGCGTGCCGGGGAAGACGATAGTTGTTTTCCGCTCGGGAATCTCAAGTAGCCCAGATGGATGAATCAGTGCCAGCGGACTGACCCCGTACGTACGGCGCATGTTCATGACCCGCAACTGAAGCTCTGCCCCGTCACCATCTTCCTCCAGAAACCGAGCACAAAATTCCGGCTTCGCCTGAAGATGTTCAAGCAACGACTTCGCCTGGTCCTGGGTGCACAATGCTGCAGGCTTGGCATGGTCAGGATAGTCGCAGCAGCGCGCTGGGAGCCAAGCAAGTTCCACACCTTGCGCTCCTCCATCCGCGAAAAGATCCAGAAATTCGTAAAGTTCTGTATCAGGTTTGATGGAAACTTGTCTGTCCGCACCATCCACAGTGACAGTGAAGAAATCGACGAAAGCATCCAGCATGTCTTGTTCAAGATCACCCGTCGCCGTCAACTCCTTTATGGCAGCCACAATCGGAATCACCCAGCACACATCACCTGAGGGTTCATGACTGGGTCTCTTGCTTCTACTGAGCTACTGTAAACAACAAATATGCTGGAAGAAAAACGCTTCTAGAGCAACCTCTACCTGGATTCAAAAAATCATCGTGGCGTGGCGTCTCGATGAGCGTGGCAGGTCCCTGTTGGATACGGACGACCTTCACCCCGGAATGAGCAGTGAGTGACATAGTCTGAAGGTTCGAGTTCAGTTCTCTTTTCCTGAATCCGTTTCTCGGGTCTCTCTTTTGCGCGGTGAACTTGAGCGTCGGGACGTGTAGCTGGCCGGCCATTGCTGTACGCAGTCGCCTTAGGGACCGTTGAATGGTGTTGTCCAGGTCCTCCAGCTCAGCACCCCAACCATCTTCCACCATCCCGCCTGGCCACAACTCGTTCCGGAACTTCCTTCGCTGATAGAGCCCATGCAATTCTGTCACAATTGACTCCACATCCTCAGCCGCTGCCATTGCGGGTTCCGCGGATTCAGTCTGTGTATGCATACTGTCCTCGCTTCCTTTTTCTGGCCAGGCTCTTAAGGCTTCTGAGGGCTTTGAGGGTTTCGGCGCTCACACTCGGACAATCCAGGCGAGACTTTGAGGGTTTAGGGTCTCTCTCTTTGCAACTCTTCAGTTGCTCCCTCTCAGCCGACTGCCAGGTCAGATAAGCGTCAAAAAACGGTTCCAAGTCCATCGAAAATCTAAAAGGTACTACTGGTATCAACGCTCTGACAATGAATAACAGGGTACTATGACGGATTCCAAAGGGTAAGGAAGCAACACAGCCTCAACCCTACCCTGAACTACTGTATGGACTTAATAACTAGAACTCGGTTTGGGCCTGGGGGAAAAAATTAGTAAAAGGTTGGTTCTAGGGTTACCCCCCTACCCCCTATATAGGACCCTATACTGTTTTTCAACTTGTCTATCTCATTCGTTATCGTTTTTGTTGTATCCTCATACAAAATCTTTATGTAGTTTTGGGGGTAACTTTTGAATTATTCTTATTACATACAACTTATGATGGTTTATTATCATAACGTTTCATATAAGTTGTATCTACTACCCTATCCCGATATTTTATACTAGTTTTATGTCATAAGTTTAGGCATAAGTTTCCTTCCTTAGTCGGTTTATGTCAGGGTATTATGTATAATATTCTATATAATATTATGTCTAGGTTTCTGTGGTGGCTACAACATCTACGGCGACATCATCAGAAGGTGGACCTTGCATGTTTAGGTTTGTAACTGCTCCGCTTGACTTGTGACTTTGCTCGCGATGTTTTCCTCTGGGGATTTAGCAATCCCAGCCTAGATACTTTGGAGTGTAGAAACCTACTGTGAAAGCCATGGCAATGCCCTTTCAAGTGGATTTGATTACGCCAGCCGGTGGTTTGCACAAAGTCCCTTATGAACCGGACTGGACAGCCTCACGCTTCAAGAAGGAAATGGTAATGCAAGCACTCGGCATTGAGGAGCTCAAAAAAGGCGAACATCTCAAGTTCTCCATCTTGATGTGGCTGAAGGTGGATATGGATGACGGCACGCGAGATATTCGGACGACCCGCTACATCACTGAGAGCACGAAGAAGATGAAGAATGTTGTGAAAGGGTATGAGCAACTCTACCGTATCGGTGTCTATGAGAAGAACCAAGGACCATTTACAAGGCATTGGGATGAGAATGAAAGCCCCGAACCAGTGGATGGGGACACTTCCGAGGACGAGGACGAGACCGACGAAAGCGAGACGAACAACAGCGAAGCCACTGACGCCAACGAGATTATCCTTGAGGAGAAAGACGAGAAGGTTGCCGGTTTTGTCAATGTCATCTACTACCTTGATGGACGACGCTACACCATGCACACCATTTACTACCAGTCAGAAACCTTCGGCGACTTTGCTAAGAGGTTTCCCGCCAGTGTCCGCGACAAGATTGGCGACGACTTCAAGTTCATGGTGATGCAAAGCTACGTTGAGAACTATGACACTTTAAGCTCTGTCCTCACGCCCGAGTTTGACACGGTAACCATTGTCCCAGTTCTTCGCGGGGGTGGCCTCGTTAAGAAGGATACCTTGAAGAAAAAGCACACCGTTGCCATTGAAGAGTCGGGCTTCAAAAAGTGCTATGACTTGATGTTGCAGTCGCGCAGTGCTACCGCCCCCAAGCTGAAGGACATTTTGAACGCCATGAAACTCGCTGACCTCAAAGAATACCGCACCCAGCTGGAGCATCACAAGGCAAACAATCCGAAAAAAGTCATGGCTCTCGCTTCCTTTTCCGAGAACTACGCCTTGGTAGATGCGATGATTGAGGAGCTGACGGTGCTGAAAAAGAAGATTGAGGAAAATGTGGTGCAGTCCGCTAACAACGATTGCACCGCCGAGAGTGGAGAGTTTCGCATGGTGGAGTTCAAGAAGGCGCTTGACATCGCCATTGCCGTGAAGGAAGCGATGCCTTCCAGTGCATACCCCGCTCCTGATGCTACCATGAATGCCTGATAGATTGCTGAGAAAGCACACGTGACCAATGCGGAACGCTGTTATGGGATGCCCAAATCCGCATAATGCATGCAGAAATCCGCATTGATTATGCCCAAATCCGCATATTTATGCCCAAAACAGCATAATGCATGCAGAAATCCGCATTGATTATGTCCAAAACAGCATCGCAAACTTGTCAAATACGCCTGTGACTGAGTGAGTGCGCAAAAGTCTTCAGTGTCCGAGCGGCACACCAGCAGTGTCCAGACCAGTTTGTGCCAGTTTGTGCAGTTCTTTGCGCTTCCCCTTAACCCTAAACCCCTAAACCAATAAATAAACAAATCAAAGCATGTAGTATTTAGAAAAATACGGGTTGCTATGAAACTATAGGTAAATCCCATACAAAATACAACATAAATCACAAATAATAATAATATGATAGACCGCGAAAAAATAAAATCAGTAGTCCCCGACTTCGTCCGATGCACTTTTTAATAAATAAAGAAATTTTTCACTAAGAACATGACAGGTGGCCCTCTTCAACAACGGCTTTCACTTCATCAACTACGAAGCACTGGTGCGTCCTCCCCCGCCGGGCTTTTTCGGTTTAGGCGTTCAGGGTTTTTCAGGGTTGTTGTGGTTTAGCGTTCAGGGTTGTTGTGGCTTGGTTTAGGTTAGGCGCGTTTGTAAAAAAGGAGCGCACCCGATTTTTTTTATTGTTTTTTTCTTTTCGTCTCGTCGCTTCTTTTCCCCTCGTGTTAAAAAGCGCTCCTTTTTTCAATGATTTTATTTTTTGGGGCTGGTTTAGGTATTTGGTTAGCGCCCGCGCGCGCACACACCCTCTACTTAAAGAGAAGCCACCTTAAAGGGTATGGAGAGCCCCAGCCCCGACACGGAGATAAAAAACTACTTAAAAGAAAATCTATATTATAATAATATGGATATTAATAGACAAAAATCTGTAATGAAATATGTATTAAATAGTGATGTAGGTAAAATTAAAACAAATAAAGACGGTAAACAATTAAAAAAAGTTATTATAGATGATAAAGAATACCCATATAATCCATCAAAACCTTTTCCCGGAACACTCATAAACAAATTAGAACAAATAGAACAAACACCAGGTTACAAACGTTTTAACATACTGGATAAAGCATCTAAGGGGATAGCAGTAAGAAAAGCTTTAAAACGATATTCTATATCAACATTCGGCACAAGAACTAACGTATGTACAGCTTTAAAAGCTTATGCTAACACATATGCCATAACAAACATTCAAAATTTAGGATATGCAGGATTATCTCACATATATTATCAAAAACCTAGATTAAGAGATTATTTAAATAAAAACAAAAGTATGAAGCTATTAGTTGATGTATCCGTTCAGTTTAAGCATTTAGACGATGAAGATAAGGATTTTGTTGCTAGTATTCGTTCACGACGATATAATATATTAAACGAAGAAGACTTAAACAATGCAATAAATAATATGGCATCTGATATAGAAATAAGCGTAGAAAATAAAAATTTTTATAGGTCTGATTTAAAGCTTCATAAAATAAACAAAATAACATTTCATTATGATAAATATGACCCGACAAGAGCGGGTAAATTTATTGAATTACCTAGATGGATTGCTTTAAAGAAGGCTTGTATTAACATTCAAAACAATGATGAATTTTGTTTCAAATACTGTGTTTTATGTAAATTCTTTGAAGTATATAAAAAAGACCATCCTTGTAGAATATGTAAATACAAGCCCTTTGAAAATGATAGTATAATTAAATGGGAAGGTGTTAATTTTCCAGCTTCAAATGAAGATATTGATTATTTTGAACAAATAAATAAACAGAAAATTTCAATAAATGTTTATATAGTAGATAATCAAAAAATACGAGTAGATAGAGTTACAAAAATAACCGAACCTATATGTCATGTTAACCTTCTTCGTCTTGATGATGATGAGGGAAGCCATTATGTTTTTATTAAAGACTATTCTAGACTTTTAGGAGGACAAACAAATAAAAAAACAAATAAACAATTTTATTGTCATTATTGTCAAAAGGGATTTACAAAAGAAAACTTATTGCATAATCATCTTACTAAAGGTTGTATGGCTAACGAGGTTCAAAGAACACAGATGCCCGAAAATGAAGATAAAAATGTTCTTTAAAAACCACTATAAAAAATTGAGATGTCCATACGTTATTTATGGTGATTTTGAGTGTTTAACAACCTTATCAAATGAAGGATTGAAGGGAACGTACCAAAATCATAAACCATCAGGATTTATGATAAATGTTGTTAATTCTATTACAGATGAAGTTAAGCCTTATTTATACAGAGGTGAGGATTGTATGAATGTATTTTGCAATAAAATGAATGAAATAAGAGATGAGATTATGTATAAAATGAATAACCCTTTACCCATGGAAGAATTAACAGATGAAGAAAAAAAGCAATTTAGAGAATGTAAAAAGTGTCATATTTGTGGAGGTTCATTTAATGATACGAAAGATAAGAAGAAAGTCCGCGACCACTGTCATTTTACGGGTAAATATAGAGGTTGTGCACATAATAAATGTAATTTAGATTTTTGTTTTAGATACTTTAAAATACCCGTATTCTTCCATAACCTTAAAAATTATGACGCTCATTTAATTATAACAAATCTTGATAAACTAAATACCAGAAAAGACAATATAAATGTAATCGCTCAGAATAGTGAGAAATTTGTTACCTTTTCAATTAAACAAATTGAATTTAAAGATAGTTTTAGTTTCTTATCTTCATCCTTAGATAAGCTAGTTAAACTAACTAAATATGAAGAAAACGCTAAACGAAAAGACTGGACAAAGCATTTTAAATACAGTAAGATGAGTGAATATGTGAAAGATGATTATGATTTAGATTTACTAACGGATAAGGGTATTTATCCTTATGACTACATGAATGATTTTAACAAGCTCAATGAAACAGAACTACCAAGTAAAAAAGAATTCTTTAGTCAGTTAGTTGAAGAAGATATAACAGATGAAGATTATAACAGAGCAACACATATATGGAAGCATTTTAACATTAAAAACTTAGGTGAATATCATGACTTGTATTTAAAAACTGATGTGTTGTTATTAACAGATGTTTTTGAAAACTTTAGAACTCAGTGTTTAAAAGATTATGATTTAGACCCCGCACATTATTTTACATTACCTAATTTTGCGTGGGATGCTATGTTATTAAAAACTGGTATAACTTTGGATTTAATATATAATGAGGATATGTATAAAATGGTTGAGCGAGGACTTCGTGGTGGTATGTGCCAAGTATCTAATAGAAAAGCAGAAGCTAACAATAAATATATGAATGAACTATATGATGAAAATAAACCTTCTTCATACATAAATTATCTTGATGCAAATAACTTATATGGTTTAGCAATGTGTCAAAAATTACCATATAAAGACCTTGAATTCATTGATTATAAAATGGAACTTAATGATATAATGGAATATGAAGACTTAGGAGTAGGTTATATTATGGATGTTGACTTAGAGTATCCTGATAATATACATGATTATCATAGTGACTACCCGCTGGCCCCTGAAATTATGAACGTAAGCGCTGATATGTTAAGTGCAACGCAGAAGAAAATATATAAATCATATAACTATAATAAAGAACCAAAAGATGAGAAAACCAAAAAACTTATATTAAATGTTAATGATAAACAGAATTATGTATTAAATATAAAGATATTAAAATATTATTTACAACAAGGAATGAAACTAAAGAAGGTAAATAAAACAATTCGTTTCAAACAAAAAGCATGGCTGAAACCATGGATTGATTTTAACACTGATAAAAGAAAACAAGCAACTAGTGACTTTGAGAAAGATATGTATAAATTAATGAATAATGCGGTATACGGCAAAACGATGGAAAATGTAAGAGAACACATTAACTTTGAATTAGTTGATACACCCGAACGTTTTCAAAAGGTAGTTAATGACCCTTGTTATAAATACAGACACATAATTAATGAAAACTTAGTAGGAGTTGAAAAGATAAAGGACACGGTAAAATTAAACAAACCTATATATGTAGGAGTTAGTATATTAGATTTAAGTAAGTTACATAAGTATAAGTTTTATTATGAGATTTTAAAGGAGAAGTATAAAGATAATATTAGGTTGATATATACTGACACAGATAGTTTTGTAACCCACATAAAAACTGATGACATATATGAAGATTTTAAGGATATAAGTAAACATATGGACTTTAGCGGTTATGATAAAGAACACAAATGTTATAACCCGATTAATAAGAAAAAGCTAGGATGCTTTAAGGATGAGTGTAATGGTAAAATCATAACTCATTTCATAGGATTGAAACCAAAATCTTATGCTTTTAAGGTTTACAGTGAAACTAAAGAAGAAAAGAAGAATAAAGGAGTGCCTAAATTAAAAGTTAAAAAAAATTAAATTTTGTTAAGTATTTAAAAACATTGAGTAATAATGAATGTGATACTGTAACTTTTAACAGTATAAGAAGCAAACAACATCAAATATATTCTATAAAACAGACAAAGCAATGTTTAAGTAGCTATGATAATAAACGCTATTATTTAGACAGTGTTCATAGTCTTCCATATGGTCATTTCCGAATAAAAGATATTTAAAGAAATATTATGTTTTTATAGTTAGGGTATAAATAGGTATGAATAGGTATGAAAAGGGTAAAATCTACAAAATAATAGATGTTGGATATAACAAATGCTATATAGGTAGCACTTGTGAGACGTTAAGTAAAAGAATGGAAAGACATAGAAAGGATTATTACAGTTATTTAAAAAACACTTTAAAGACTTGGACAAAATCACTTGAAATATTTAAAGAGTATGGTAAAGATAATGTGAAAATTGAACTAATTGAGAACTACCCGTGTAAAAGCAAGGAAGAATTATTACGAAGAGAAGGTTATTAAATTAAAAGTATTGATTGTGTAAACAGATG